ATATATGTATATACATATAAAGAAAAATAGAGGGCTGGTATTTTATGAGGTGAATTTTTTTTAGTTTTTGATTTCAGGGGATCCGAGATTTATTGATACAAAATCAAGTTCATGAGGCGTGACAAGTACGAGGGGCGTTGTGTATATATAAATAAATAAATAAAAAAAAAATTTATATATATATATAGAGGTGGGCACTAATGAGGAGGAAACTCTGGAGATGATGATGATGATGATGAGGAGAAAGAGGAGAGAACTAAGGTCCAGAGATCTCTTAAGAAAAATAAGGAGGAGGAGGAGCATCCTCGTTTATTGGTCCGTGTTTAAGAGAGCAAGGCGTTGTGGTTGGAGAGGTTGGAGAGAATCTACCGAATCGACCAACCTTCGTCGGTTACTACTCTCTGACACCGTGTGTAACCACATCAAAATAATAAAAAACAAATTTAAATTTGTCAGCTTTTTTTTTTTTTTTCTTATTTTTTTACTTTTTTAGTGCTGTAAATTTAAAAATAAAGAAAAACCTTTTAAATAAACAACACCGAGAGGTAAAACGATTTAATGACCAGAAATTATATACCTCACACTATAATAAAACATCAATAGCAACAACAACTTTGAATTATCAATCAATCCTGCTGTTAATATAATTGTTTAATTTTTATTTTAATTGATTTAATAAGAATAAATTACTATAAAAAATTAATGATTAATTGACGATTTAAAATAATAATAAAAAAATGTCATTTTAATTAATCACTCTAAAATATGAGAGTAAAGAAAAAAAAGGATAAAACTAAAAGGACAAGTGTTGAAAGTTGAAAAGGGGCGTCAATAAATTATAATTTAATTTTAAAATCAAAGGGATCGAGATATCCCAGATTTCAGAGTGATTTAATTTTTACCCTTATTATCCCGCGTCCCATCACGTCTCACATCACCCAGCACCTCGCCACAACCCAATCAGCTAACCATCAGCCTATCGTATTAATTCGTATTAATACATTTAAATTAATTATTTAAATTTCATTTAAACGATAAAATTTCGCTTTCATTAATAATTTCTACTACTTTTGCATGTCTCCTTTGTATATTTATTTGGTGTTGGTCTTGGTGTCGCAAGTTTTTATCTTCAACTGCTTTTATATTGACGATAGAGTATCATCAACGTATATCTAATTTCCGTTATTATCTTTGATAAAAAAAATTCTCTTAAAGATCGCGGACAAAGAATCCCGATTCGCCGCGACTTTGATCATTATCAATTGCTTATAATCGACTGATCAAATAGGTCGAGCAAATATTTGTCTTACATGATTTCAAATTCAAAAGTAAAGATAAAAATAATAAAACATATTAAAACATTTCATTTTCAAGTTGTTTTAAAAGTTTTTACGGTAAAACAAATAATAAACTTTTTAATGTAAATAAATATTATCAATAGGGAAAAAAGAAAAAGAAACTGATATTGAACTTAAATTCAACATAAACACAACATACTTGGGTATATAGTTGATGGTATGTATGTTACTTAAACGTATACGTATTTCTCAGAATGTCAAGTTTCCGTTTCTGTATTTACTAGCAGAGACTCGTACAGAGTGTATAAGACTTGCAGAGTTTAGTATATAATATCTATAAAAGTTACGCGGCTGTGCATGTTCTACAGCGACTACTAGCGAATTCGAGCGCTTCCATCTAGTAGTATAAACTGTATACGTAACAACAAGAAACATTTTATCTTCTATATACATGTATATATTGTTTTTTTATTTTTTTTTCTCTCCCTGTTGTTTGTATATACTCATACTTTTTTCTTTCTCCTAAAAATTCAATATAATTTTTTTATTTTCTGTATAATATATAGATCGTTTAAAAATTTTATAATGTCAATATGATAGACAAAACTTGATTAAATATAATATTGGCACATATTCAGTACAAGTAAATAATAAATGTTTCCTATTACTCAATAGCAGTGTTATTAATTTAAAAAATGGATAATTTGTTTATAAAATTTTCAATGAGTATACCTTGTGTGTACTTGGATATAAACCTCCAAATAGTCTCAAAACGATCAAGTTCCAACAAACACGTTTACCACATCTTCTTCTCCTCCTCCTCTTCCTCCTCATATTGTAAATTGTATATATATATATTTGAGGTTTCTGATAGGACAGGAGCGTGTAAGTGTACAAGCGTCTACATCGACCAATACTCTTACCTCCTACTATCCAAACTGCAATAGCAAGAAATGTTGAGTATATAGTTAGAGTAAGAGTATTATATGTATTTGTAAGGAGAGTTTGGGTTTGGTTTAAGCACGACAGTTTGTTGTGTGTGCAAGTAAAATGGCATGGTTGTGTGTATACTGCGGTGTTAACAAACGGTACACTAATGTTTCACATCTCGGCATGCTTCACTCTACTTGCCTTTGTCCTACTCGTTGTATTCAACCCCTTATTTCTTCGATTATTCCCCTCTTTTCCTCTGTCAGCTTCTTTAGGCGTTTTACCCCCGTAAGCCCCTTAACCTCACAAGTGCCAAGTACCGTCGACATTCACATCGACATCGACAGTCTCAACATTAAATGAAAGGGGAAATGGAAGCCTCGCAGTCAAGTACATACACCTTTACATACTCATCTTACATCAAAGAGTGGGGAATTTAATAAAAAGTAAGATAAGAGTTTAACAAACGAAAATAAGTGGGGGAAGAGACCAAGAAGGCGGACGTTTGAAGGCGGAGCGTAAGTTGTCCGCGCCCATGTAGGGGAAAAAAATCCTGACTCTACCTACTACTTACTACTTGATATTTGTACTACTTATACTACTTACTATTACGACTAATACTACCAGAGTGGTTTTGTTTTATTTTTGCTAAAATTTTAACTCGTCTAATTATTTTCAAAATTTTGTCAATTGCTTTAATTGAGAAACTAAAAAAATTTTTTGTTTGATAAAATAATTAAAAATGTTGTTGTTGTTGTTGTTGTTGTTGTTGTTGTTATTGTTGTTATTGTTGTTTGAGTGATGACAGAGAACCTCCCATTTTCCCACCTAATGTTACAACAGTCCGATGGAAGCAAGTATAAGGCTCATAATAATATTGTTGCGTTTGGTAACAAAACCGCTTGCTCAGAATCGCTGACAATCAGTGACACCTTCCCCTTCTCCCACCACAAAATTCTGTTGGCACCCCTCCCCCAGGGACCTCCCACCGATTCTAAAAATGCGGCTCCCCTTAACAACCGTTTACCAGAAGGCTTGTGTACTAGCGTGTGTTAATAGTGACTGTTAATAATACCACGTTTATTGTATCCCTATACTGTAAAAGTATATGTGTGTATGTATTTGTATATAAGCCTCGTTTCGTCTGGGAAACACCTCGTATCAGTAAACCCGCCCCTTGCCTGACCGGAGTTTAAAAAAAACGCCCTCACTGCGGGCGTATTTTTGGTTGTTTGTAGTTAACTCTAGTCAGTGTGGCGCTAGTAGTGGTACCAGTTAGCCGTCTACCAACAGCCCTACTTTACGTTACCTTACTTTACCTCACCTCACTTTTATCTCACCTCACCTCACCTCACCTCACCTCACCTCACCTCACCACACTTGTTACTTGTGTGTCATCTGTAACACTGATATATCAACACCTACATTCACTACTACTACTACTAGTACTGTAGTATTATACTCCTCGGTACGGTTATACGGGTAAGGCAAGGAGTTACACACCAGTTGAGACTATAAGCGAGATAGAACACAAGTGCTACCGCGTTACACGCCAACCCGTGATCAACTCGACAACGCCTGCGTCTCTTTCTACAATCACTACTACTATAACAACAACAACAACAACAACAACAACAACTACTACTACTACTACTACTACTACTACTACTATCTACCTCCCAACCAACTCCCGAGCAACTCCATGCCACTAGCCAGAGAGGTACATACTTCCTTACTAATATAACATCAGCTTACTCAGTTTAGTCGCGATATTCTATTCCCGAGTTTCTATTTGGCAATACAGTGACACCCTATCCCAATACACATCATATTATATTAAAAAAAAAAAAAAATATTATTTGTAAAAAAAAGTGTTAAAGTTAGATATAAATAATATCAAGTGCCCTAACGATTTACTCTCACTACTTAACTCGTACTACTGGTTAGTATTATTTGATTTTTGGTCCTTAGACCAGAGCGTGCTGCTGCTGCTGCTGCTGCTGCTGCTGCTAGTATTGCTGCTGTTGTTGTTGGTGCTGCTGGTGGTACTACCCTTCCCTCTCCCCCAGCTCCTTCCTCTTTCCCCAGTGGTGTACCCCTGAAAGAGCCTGTAACAGCCTGTAGCAGCCAGTGGTCTGCCCCACTCTCTGATTTAAAATCAGGCACGGGCGACAATCGCGGTCTTCGTTCCACTCGTTCACTAGATACAGATGCGGAGCCTTCGAAACCGGATTCCATCGAAAAGAAGACGACGATTCGCCGGTGGATAGTCGCGACCGATGATAGCTGGCGCGTCGATCGGATCTACGCCGGACAGATTATCGTCCAGTTAGTGTCGATTCTTTTAATACCTAACACACTTTACCGGATTACGTGGATTTTGTTAATAATTTACTTTTTTTTTTTATTTTTTTTTAAATAATTATTATTGCTATTACAAGTGAACCAGTGTGATGTGGAATTTTTTTAATTTTTTTTTTCTTTTTATATTGTTAAATAATATAAAAATTCAGTGATATATAAAAGTTTTTTTCCTGTGATAATATCTTGGATACACAATATATAATATATAATTAAAAAAAAAAAAAAAAAAAAAAAAAAAAATACGTTTAATTAAAAAAAATAAAATTATTATTATTTTTTGTATGGAACATGGCGATATGGCTTTTATTTAAAAGTGAGTGAGAGTGAATAAACAGAGGGTGATTGGGGTAATTAAAAATGATTGCGTAGCGAATTACGACAATCACGGCCCTCAGTGGCCGACACAACATGTCACAGTTCTCTTACCGCGGATCGCCTAATTTGCAGGTAAATTTTTTATTTATTATTTATTGTTTAAATAGTTTTAATAATAATAACAACAACAACTATGCAGGAATAAGGCAATAAATTTTACGTAACAGCGCAGTAATGCTATGTACATTTTTTAACTCTAATTGAAAGTTATTATTACGTGATAAATTAGCCATTAGACAAAAAAACTATAGTGTAACAATTATTTATCGTAAACATGCGATTACTATCTATTTTTTTTACCTCTATTATTTAACAGTAATGATAATAACGACTACTTTGTTGGTGCAATTGCTTAATAATTGTTGAGGAGAGGAGTCAAAGGTGATAACTCATGTATTATATTTACGTTTTAATTATCTAAAAATATACTCCAAATAGAAATTAGTAAATTAATTCTTGCCTACAATGAAATGATATTATTAAAATTCTATACTCTAATTTAAAATCATAAGCAACTGTTTGTAAAGAGAATTTTTTTTATTTTTTAGTATAAAATAGTGCGGGAGCAGGTTTTTTAAACTCAGTGGGAGTTAATTGTCACTATTGTTAAAAATCGTGTCTTACAAGAAAGTCGACAAGATATTTTCAATACATTAATGGATCATTTTTGTTCACAAAAGCTTCCATGTATACAGTAGATAGAAAAATTAATAGATTTTATTGAATTTTAAATTTACATTCCACTAATTATTTAGAAAAAAAAAAAAAAATCCAAATAATTAAAAATTGTCGTTGATTAAATTTGTAACACTATAATTTAAATGTTTATTCATTATAATAGAATCATCAATTTGTTTTAACTGCAGACATAAGACAGTTTTATGTACAATCAATAATAAATGAATACTTTTAAAATATTTAATCTAATAATAAAATTAGATTAATTTTGAAACTTGAAAAAATAAATTAAGTATTTAGTTAAAAAAAAATGTAATTATTTATTAAAAAATTTTTCTCACAATTAAAAAAATGAAATGAGATAATAATCGAACGAACAAGAGTACTTGTTAAAGAAAAAAAAAGTAACACTGCATCTATAAATATTTAATTTGGTATGTAATAATAATTCAATTGTCCGTATTAGCTCGCAATATTCGCAATATTCGACACATGCGGTACTTATACATTTATAGAATATATAAACTGAGTGTAGACTGTGTCTATATATATAGTAATACATATTGTTGCAATAGCCGCCTGTTGAACCCACACCTTTATTGGCAACTCAGGGACAATGATCACGTGTCCCTTATATTATGCATGTATTGTCCTTACATGTTAATAAGTTTAAACGCTACCGAGCAATTGTAACGCATTTTAAATATATATCTAATATGCTCTTTTTAATTGTATTTATTATCATTACTTACATATTATTATTATTATCATCATCATCATCATCATTATTTTAATACTTTATAAACGTTTCTTATACTTTATTAAACTAGACTATTTATATATATATATATATATATATATATATAATTTACGTCAATTAAATGACAATTTGCTTGATTGGGTTTTTAATAAATGTTCTCAAACTTGTATTTAAATGTAGAAACGAGTATATTTTATATATTTTTAGTAGAGGTTACTGATATATAAAGAGATATTTTAAGTAACGAGATAATAATGTCGATAAATATATAATATTAATAATAAGTATTGTTATATTTATAACTTTTTATTTTCTGCTTTTATTAATTAACTTTTCATTCGTTTAAATAATTCAATTTTTTTTTATAATTCAATTCATTTAAGTAATTAAATTCTGAAATATAATTTTTATGTTGCTTAAAATTTATACGATAAATTTATTTCTGTATTTTTTTTTATAAATAATTTAATAAAGTTTTTATTTATTTTCCGATTCAATATTCAAATAAGGGTTATAATTAAATGATACTTTTTTCTATTTTATTACTTATTACAAAAATAGGAGTAATTTTTTATTAGTGACGAAAATTTTATTGTTAATAAAACTTTTATTTATTTTTTATCTAATAATATTATACAAATCATTATGCTTGTAGAAAATAACTTTTGCGCTCGAAAAAATTTCAAATACACTTTAGTTTATACAATAAATAATAAATGATATAAAAATACAATCATATATATTATAATTAATTATAGTAGATCTAAGAAATTCATTGTTATTAGAATAATAATAATAATAATTATTATTATTATTATTATTATATTTTATCTGTGATTAATCGTCAATGGGAAAAAAAAATATAAAATAAGAGAGCATTGACAAAAAAATGAATTGTCAGCATTGATATAAACTCAAGAAGAGACAAAAAAATTTATGAATGAAAAGTAACTTAATAAGCAGTAGTGTATACTTACACACAACAACTAACGCTGACTCAATAAACTAAAATTGTAACCGTAGTGAATAATAATGTATTTAGATATTATTACTAACTATGGAAGATCATCGTTTTAATCGAAAAACTGGACAGTGTAATATAAATATCCGTTTGTTATAAATAATCTAAAATATTATAATAGGCACTACTCTTGGGTAAAAATCTTGAGCACATAACTTATAATAATAATAATAATAATAATAATAATAATAATAATAATATATCCACTCTACTCGATTACAAAACGCACACGCATTAATATGTTGACAGTACGAGTTCTCGGCATTTCCGGTGCTCAGATTTCAGGCTCTACTCAAAATCATCCCATACAATGTAAGTGTTATCCATGTCTGTTAACTCGCGATTAAATGTCTCAGCGCATAGTTAGCTTGTATTTAATAAAATAAACACCCACCACATTATTCATACATTATATACATTATTCACCTTATCTTAAATCTTATTACAATGTATTATATTTATAAAATATCTCTCTATATATTAACATTGTAGCTGATGTTATTGTTTTTTTTTTTTTTTTTTTTTTTTTTAAAATTAAACAGGCTCATATTTAATGAAATAAAATCTATCTAAAAAAAAAAAGTAGCAGGTCTACAGACTATATCATATTTTATATATTTATCAACTCCTTTTATGGGAGAAAAAAAAATATAGATTATTAAACAGACATCAGTCATCATCTACACTATATGTATAATGAATTTAAGAATACAAAAATTTTTAAAATTCAATATTATATTTCGGAGAATATTATTTACCGGTATGAGGCTTTATTCATACAGTGGATATAGCTTAAAACAAATGCCGGATGTAGATTCCACTCTTTTACTCTTGTTCGCTATGTTATATGTCGGTACGTACATCACGGAGTACTCTTGTCTTTTGATATACATAACTAAAGTCGTTTGTTATCTTTTTTATACCAAGAATCGTTAGTATCGTGTGACACAGTGTATATATATATATATATACTAAAACATCTCTACCAATCTGTCTTTAGTTCATTTCATTTTTTTTTATTTTTTTTTTTGTAAACTTTGGTGTTAAAATTTATAAATTTAGTACTACAGAGATATATACTATTCACAGATGGGGGCCGGATCCACTCAAATACAGAACATGGTTATTTTGCGAGTGATGAAAGAATAAATAATTTTTGTCATAAATTTAATATTAAAAAAAAAAAAAAACGTTTATTTTTGTTATTAATAGAGAATAAAACAAAATTTTTGAGCATAAAAATGTTTTTTGATTGTTTAAAAAGTTTAATGAGGATGCATTCCCATAAAATAAATAAAAATCCACTCAAAAGAATATGTATATAATAAATACAATCAGTTAAATTTAATAGCCCATTAACTTGGACCTACAAAGAGGCTATTCATTTTATATATAGGTAATAAATAAAATAAAAATTTAAATAACAAAGATTATAGAGTATAAAAATTGATGTTGATCGAAAGTTGGTCAGTTTATAAAAATAAAATAGAGACTGAGCTAAATTTAATCTTTCCTGAAGGAAAAACCTTTCGGGGAAATATTTGTCGAGCGATGACTTTGACGGCGGTTTTCGGTTTATCCACGTCAAGAAAGGTGAAAGTTTAAGTTTAAGTTTAAGAGAATAGAAAAAGTTGACTGTATTGTAGAGATATATATATATATATATATATATATATATATATATATATATATATATGTGTGTTATTGTATGTATAACCCAAACAAAATAGGATAGTTTAGTGTTTTAGTCTGTTGTAGCCGAGATTGAGAGTGTGATTAAAGTTACAGCGGATATTAATCGTCGAAGCTACATATATAGCGTTTGAGTGTGTACGATAGTTTGTGTGTGGGTTGTTAGATTTTGAATTTTTTTTGGTTAGTATAAGGATGAATAGAGAATTATAAATGAGAAAGAGAAGGAGAAGAGAAAAGAAAAAGGGATTTATTGAGTGTGTGGATTTTGTAGAGTGGTAAAGGGCAAAATAACGTGTGGGAACATAAGTAAGTACCTTTGACGGCCTAAGCACACAGGACGGTCCATCAATCTGCTCGGGAGTAAATATTTGTTTGGCTGGGCCTCGTTGCAAAGAGAGCAAAGAGGGCATTATCGGTATACACAAAAAGCGACAAACCGTACGATGACGATCCGAACAAAAAGACAACAATATAACCTATACACTGTATACATACTATTGCGGCTTTACCTTCTTTACCTACCCGACATATTATATTTATATTGGATATATATTTTTGTGCTCTTGCTTACTTGAGCTTTACTTTACCTACCTCTCGTTATATGTATTAAAGTGAGAACCTATATAAAGAGAAAGATATATAGAATGGAAAGCAAACCGGTCCCTTTTACCTCTGAAAGTTGCAGGACACGCGTGACAAATGTTCCGGCTGCAAACATTGCGGCGCATCTGTGTCTACAGGATAAGCCGCTTCGCATATTCTTTTTCCAATTTATTATAAATTGTCAAGGCTCTTTATAATACACAAATGCCCGTTACAATTATAACACGATTATACAGACACTTTTATTTACATATCACTGTAATATCTTTAATGTTACAACACACAGTTTTGTTACATTGGGCCTATTATTTAATAATCAATTTTATAAGTTACCATGGAAATTCATTTTTTTTTCTCAATGAAAAATTTCATGCTGAGACTCATGCTGACCTTCCCAACGGATTTATTTTACAATTGAATTTTTAGTTTGATTTCAGGTTTATTCTATATCATCAATAAAATTTTACAATCTTTTAATCTAGCTCAATGTTGGAATAATTATCATAAATTCTTTAAAATTACGACAATAAATATCAAACTTTGAATTTATCTATTTTTTTTTTTTTTTTTTTTTTCAATATTATATATGTAAAACCAAAGTTAGAAGTTTTAAGTAATTCTGCATGGTACAAAAAGTAATCAATCAAATCCACCATTTCTTATCTTTTGTCCATAAAAAAAATTAATCAATACCAGCTTATCAGCTATAAATAATTAATAACAAAAAATCATAAATATTAATCCAATAAATTACATAAAATATCGGTTAATAATTAATTCCATTACATCACATTGTTGTGACGGCTACTGAATAACTGGCTGTTAAATAAATAATAAATAACCGGTGACAAAATATCTCACGCTCATAAATAATCCTCATCTTTTTATTTTTAGTATAATAATAATAATAATAATAATAATCTATAAAATTTTGATCCAGATGAATATATATTTAAAAAGTGGACTCACACACTAAAGATTAAAAGCAAAGAGAGAAGAGAATTTGGGTACACGATTATATATAAACGACAGGATTATAATACCATTGCCTTATTAGCATGCTTGTATAATGTATTAATATTTTATTATTATTATTATTATTATTATTATTATATATTTATTAGCTTTACGTGACGTTAATCAAGGCCGTATAAATCGTGCGTCATATTGATTACGCTGGTTGAGTAGGTCCTTATTATTTTATACACCTATAGGAGCAGATACAACATTAATCTGTATTAAAAATTTGTATAATGTTGGTGTACTCCATATTACATTAAGGAGGGAGATGAAGATTGTGTAGAATTTACAGTGCGAGAGAGAAAGCAAGATATTTAACCTGTATAGTTTAACTTATATAATGTATTATATTTTTAATGGTAAAAACCGGGCCTGATCAAATCCGATTCAATATCCAATATTTAATGCAAGTATGAATGTATGTACCAAGTTTATATGTATGTATGTATTTGTTATTTGTGGATTTAACTACTCGAAGAAACTGGTCAACATATAACTCTGACAGGCGCTGATGCTTGTCGCTTACTACGCAGCTGCTCTTGACAACACGCGGAATTAAATGCCACGGGTATACAGATACGAGGTGCATAATTCCATGTATACATCTATACATGCTTATAAGACACTTTTACTTTTATTTCTAAAAACCTATATTCATTCATTCTGACTGCTACATATTGTTATATAGTATAACCACAACTCTTCTTCTTATTCTTTTTATATCCTATATATCAATAACATATCTCTTTACTTAATGTACATTGTTGCGAATTAGCATTCGGTCAACGAATAAAAATAATTTATACTCTTTTAAAAAAAAAAATGATTATTGATTAAATGAAAGGTATGTGTAAGGATTGCTTCTGAATTTATATTTTATATTTTACAAGAATCGATGAATTTAAATGATGTAAAACGAGTGAGGGTATGCACACAAGGGCAAATATAAGAAAAACCGATAGATTATAAATTCAAATGGTTCGAAGAAAATGCCGTGTCTTGCCTGAGTGTCTGATGAAAAAACGGCATCGAGTTATCACGTAACGCTGTGTGTAAAAAGGCGCGATAAAATATAAAAGGGGACTATCTTTTCTCTTCTCTCTTCTATACTCTCAACTCGACACCTAACTCTGTATAAGCTGCTGTAAAGTGCTGATGTACATGCATGCATTGCACTCCCGACTCTCAATAAAAATAATAAAAATAATAAAAATAATAAAAATAGTAATAATAATAACAAATAGCAAGACCAAGGCAAGCATCACTTAGGATAAAGGGTAGAAAGATATAAGGGAATGTGTACAGCAGGTGAGTGAGTGAGTGAGTAAGTGAATAAGAGTCTGATGTTGACAAAATGAATTCTCTTGTTTAATACTGTATAAAGTACTCCGTATACCCGGTATACCGTACTGATCGGGTCGTTCTTTCTATTCGTCGGCTCATGGAATCCACCGCAGGAAGACGTATCCGGCGAGTAGTGTCAGGTATTCGAGGATATCAGCAAAACTCTGTAGTCGCCAGTCAGCAACCAACGATGAGCTAGAAGCTACATATGTATATATATATATATATATATATATATATATATATATAAAGGATAAGAAAGAGAAGAAGAAGAGGAAGAGGTTAAACGACGAAGCGTGTTTGGTATGACCTGTAGGCCATAATTCTCGGGCCTTTGGTGGTAGCCAGCTGAGTTACACCTCACGATTTCATCGTGGCTCTCTACTCTCTTAGCTCTCAACTGGTTGTCGTCACCTCTGTTGTATATACATACTCCTCTGTGGTACTGCTTCTTGGATCTGGTTGAATATACTTGGTGGATATGGTTGGTGGCTAGTAGTTGGTGCAAGGTATAATATAAAATAAACCCAACCGCGATTATTCGACTCATACAACTGTATTTCTCACTTGTGTATTTTGCCGATCTCCGATTATATTTTAGCTCCCGCGTTAATCTTTCTCCCCAGCATATACCTACTGTCTACTGCATACACACACATATATATATATATATATATATATATATATATATATATATAGTATACCGGTTGTTATATTGGTATGAGAAGAGGGAGGAAGGGGTTAGGATACATAGTATAGATTATTGTTGGTTGGTTGGTGAGACAAGAGATGGTAAAGGTGAACAAAATGAAACTTTGCCGAGTTGTATATCGACAATACCAGTCTGAATAATACTATAAGGCGGTTGATGGCGGTACAAGATCCCCAAGAAAAGATTATCGCTAGTCGCCAGTGGCCAACACTCAAACCGATTATTGAGCATATGTTAACTGTTATGTGAATAACCTTATTCTAATAACTACAATGTAAATTTTTATTTTTATAATTTCAGTGTCCCGTAACAGTAAGTGGAGCGTTAGCGTCATCTTCACCCTCTCCAGCTTCAGGGTCTCTGTTGACCGGTAGTGGAGTTTCATCAACCGGTGGAAGCGAAAACCATCCCTTGACGTCGCCTCTGTCGAGCGTAGCGAGGATGGCTGTAACCAGCGCGATAATCCGACCAGCAGCCGGGAGCCCAGCAAGCTCGGTTAGTCCCTCATCTCAGCATCAGCAGCAGCAGCAGCCGCATGGTCCTCCGCCGTCGGGACCACCGAGTGGTCGGTGTTGTGACACTGGTCGTCCTATTTTTACGGACCCGGTGACTGGCCAATCAATCTGCTCCTGTCAGTACGAGCTTTTGGGCGCAGGGTACCAGCGTCTCGGTGGAATCACACCTGCGGCTCTTTCGATGTACAGCACACCGTATGCCGCAGCAGCCGCAGCAGTAGCCTCCGAGGGTATGGCCGCATACTTTCCAGCTCTTGGGGCCGAACAAACTCCTTTTTATTCTCCTACCGTACGTATTATTATTATTATTATTATTATTATTATTATATTGCATTTATTATTTATCGGACCACACACTGTCTTGGTATTTATTTTTATTTACTCATTATGTATGTACCAGAACAGACTGACAATTATTATTCCCAAGTGTAAAAATTATTTTATGACATGACCTAAATATTTATAAGTTGATAATAAATTAATTATCTTGTATTTTTATTTATTTTTTTAAATACTAGATAAAAGCCTCAAGCTATCGCTCTTTTAAAATTAATAAAATTCTTCACTATTAGTATACCCTGAGTCTGTGAATAAACTTATTATATTGCTTGACAACTATTTTAGTTAAACAGACAAATAGTTTTATAGTTTTATATTTTTATATTTAATACATGTAGGTATACTTGTATCGATCAATACATATCAATCTTTTAATAAAAAAGAAAATATGACAAGATGATTGATCACGTGGCTCACCTTTGCTTTGCCAGGTGTTATTTTTTTTCGCCATTCTTTTATTATTTAATAAAGAAAAGAAATTTTTTTTTAATTCTCTATAACGTTTAGTTTATCAATTTCATCTTCATGGTTTAGTCGATCAAATGTGAATATTAAAAGTTTATTTTAATAACTGAATTTTTTTAACCAGTAAAAATAAAATTAAGCAAAGAGATTACTATAGAATTTAAATATTATTGATGATGATGATGATAATAATAATATTTCAGGCAGCAGGTTTGGATTTGAAAGAGAATCTAAGCGCGGGTGCAGCGGGTTGGCCATATCCAGCAGTATATCATCCTTACGATGCAGCAGCATTTGCCAGTTATCCCTTCAACGGGTAAGTTATTCATGACTCAATTATCTATTTTCTTGTGTCATATTATTCTCGAATAAATTATTATTATTATTATTATTATTATTATTATTATTACTATACCAACACTTATACATTTAAATTATTTAAATATTCTCCTGACAATTCTCCTTTTGTCTGTTGAGTAAAAATAATTCGATTGATTATCAATATTAATAAATAATAAATATAAATGACAATAAAAAGTAGATAAACGTATTATATTATTACAGACGACAACGACACTGTACATTAATCTATTTAGTTATCTTAAAGTTATAGGGTCAGAGGTTAAAATTATCTGTCTATCATTATAATACTCGTGAATTGGTATTTATTCATAATATGTCGACATAATAATTTTATATATACCATACATACTTATATTTAACCAAGTTTTTCCCTGGTTATATCCGACAGATAAAGTATTATTGATGAGTTAACACGTAAACATTGTAATAAATTAGCGCTGGGGTGACCCGTACCGCGGCAACCGCGATACCATTTAGATTATTGTCGTCTTGGACATATATATATATATATATATATATATAATAACATACCAGTAACTACCATAACTATACGCAACTGACAATTCTAAATAATTCTAAAGAGCCTTTTAATATCCGACTGTCTATACATACACACCTAATTTGGAGTGTGTGGGTAACATATTAATAACTATTATATATAGCGTTACTTAAAAACTCGACGTCTGTATTATTATAATTATAATTATAATATTAATACAGAGACTACAGTAGACGGTAAAAGGTCGCGTATAAATCAATTTTGTCGTTATTTTAGTACGTCGTGATTATATATCACCAGAGATGAATTTTTTTTTATCACGATTGGGATATTTTTAAATGCCTACATCATTTTTTATTTTTTATTAAAACTAATATATATATATATATATATTTTTTTTTTTAATTTATTTTATTAAATAAATTGTAAATTAAATATATAAACTGATAAATTGAAACATAAATTGGTATTCCTCATAAAACATTTGGTTATTAACAAAATAAGAATAAAAAAAAAATTTTTAAATAAAAATGCAGATGCAGTATAACGAAACAAAGTAACCGACGGCTCGCGTCCAGATCGAAACGTACATATAATATCGTACTTAAGCAAGCTGTAGTACTTGATCGTTTCCTTGCATTTAAATCAGCAGTACATGCCGGAAGTGCGTCACATATCACATATATCCCCATATGTACATCATATATACCTACAAATTTTCCTCCTTCTCCTTCTTTTTATTATTATTCCCTCAAGAGCACTATACAACGAAATTTTGTCCTATATGTATGTGTATATTTGCTTGCAAACATAACTTACTTGATTTAGCGACTGTCTATTTAATACAATAGTGATGTCGTCGCATTTTATGCATTACATATTTCAATTGTAAGTTAACAGCAACCATAGCATATAATAATATTATTGCATTAATATAATATCCGAGTAGTTGGTGGCCCAACAGAGTAACAGTGCGACTATATAATAAACGTGACTAACTGACTATACACATCATTGCACGCACTACGTGATCTGATTCCTAATAATACACAACCAAAAATAATTTTCTATTTCTGCACTTGTTTCATTTAATTAAAAAGGAAATATAATAAAAAAAAAAAAAAAAAAAAAAATAAAATCTCTTGTTTATGAAAAATATTAATAATATGTAATAAATATAACTATATACATAAGTATGTACTGTTGTTGTTTTTTGTTTGTTGCTTGTTAGTTAACATAATTAACGCAATTAGCATGAAATAATTATAATAATGGTAATGAGTTTAATTATTGGGGCAACGAAGTAAATAAAATTTATTCGTGGGTTTATTATAAACTCAAATTTATTTATAATGAGTATATAAATTACTCATTATCAGTATCAAAGGCCTCGGCGTCGGAATAAACCACCAACAAATTTATAAAAATAATATACTATTGTTTTACAACGGAATTTTATTAAATTGAGAACAGCTCGATTACGTGAGTTTATAATTATTATAATATATTCCGCCGTGGTGTTTCCGTTGAGTTTACAATGTCTTTTGGACTTTCGGTACACTCTATATATATATATATATATATATATATATATATATATATATATTAGCATATATCTATACAGACATTTTTATTTTATGGCTGGTGATTGGTTACGTAAATCCGTGACTTTGGATTTTCAAATTTTAATAAAATAAAGATTTATAGTGCTCATTGATATCATTAGCACTTTTTCGCTCTCTATTGGTCTATACTTTGTTATTAAATAATAATAATAATAATAATAATAATATATTTATGTTAGAACGAATTGGGGGAGATGAACTAACTTATTAAATAATAAAATAAAATGCAAGTTTGGCATGCACTTACGGTGAGGTCGAGATCGCGGCGGGTCAATGATCCCGTCTTTCCGCCGGATTGGCCCTGCTTCCGGGGACATGTAGGGTAGACAATAAGAAAGGCACGACCAGCAAGAGTCTACCACGACAAACCACTCTTTCTTCCTTTAGTTTTAACTTTTAATAATAATAATAATACTAACAACAACAATTCATAATGTATCACAATGCACGTGCGCATTGTTGCTGCTATATAACGACATACAGTGTCACCACGAATTTAAACGCCGCTATATATATGCTATACATAGGCTACATACGTTATATTAGCTATGACCAAACATAACGCAACAATAATATTAATATATCGACTCAGCACACTCACCAAACAATAATTTATACAAATAAATGTATGTTGATAAAATAAAAAATTAAAATAGAATAATATTAACAATTAATGATTAATGATCTGCTGTGGGATTGGACACACACATTGCAGAGTAATTAGCAAGCCAAGTGTTTCCCAATACGGCGCAATCTAAATCGCTCCCCATTCCCATACCAGACAACAACAATATAATACATTTCAAATGATGTTGACTGATATATATATATATATATATATATATATATATATATATATATATATATATATTTAAAGTTTTTGGAGGTTGTCAAAAAGGGAGAAATGGTCCTTCCTATTAATTCAGTGATAACTCGGTGTTTGATATGCGTACTCGCTGTTTGACAATAACCAGAGTTTAAATTCTATATAATAATATATTATATCCAGGGTGTTCTCTAGTACTATCAAACACATGACTGTTAGACAGCTAGACAGCGTGCGAGCATGCTCATTAGCAGTATATTTAATGGTTTATGCTTAAAATTAGATACCTATTTTTCATCTTATTTGTTTCACAACAAATTCACCTATTTTTGTTGTTATGACTTGTATGATTTATGATTTATGACAAATGTTTCCTTCAAGTCATTTATTACTTATACTGTGACGGTTTAGCTGACAATTAGATTTTTTAAAATTCAAACTTATTTACATATTATAATATGTATATTTTTAGTTCAACACAAGTTTTTTTTTTTTTTTTTTTTTTTTTTTTGTATATTTCAACTCAATTAAAATTTATAAAAATAATAAACAAACAAACATGTTTGGTTTATTGGGATCGATTACTTAATCAGAACCAAAGTAATAGGATAGGATGGGAGTACCATACAATGTTAAGAAGCTCTTAAACGCGACGAAAGAGGCGGAGCTGGATTTTACCTGTAACGAAACCCCTCAATAACAGAGACTCCATCTTGATCTCTCACCCCTCGGTTTAACACGCAGCATTGTAGATTGTTGTATAGATTGTAAATTTTAAATTCGTATATATATAATATAGGGGAATTGCCAATGACAAATTAAAATCCTGGAAAAAAAAGGTGTTGTAGTAGTAGGTGTTTGGTGGTTTAGTGCTTGGGGGTTGGATTTCTGAGAGTATTCCTGGGTGGTTTGACTTGCCTACTACTGTCTACTGCTGCCTACTGAAAACGACTGCTCGGGATATAAACTACTCACCGGTTTACTTGTACCCGCTAGTGCCGAGTGCCGAGTAGTGAGTAGTGAGTAGCGAGTAGGGTGGAGAGTAAAAAGGGGTTGGTGGATATGTACCAAGAGGGACGGGCTCGAGCACAGCCCGATTAGCAATCGCCATGGAAACAACCAGTTGATGCGATCGCTTTTCGCGCATCAGAGGAAAGGGTTGCTTTCATTTACTCACACTCAACACACATACAGATATATACTATTACTACTATTAGAGTTGCGTGCGACATTTATACACATGGCACGTAGTTGAGCAAACTCACAGTAGATACATATATGTATGGTATATATTTGTATGTGTGCTCCCTGCTGATGATCAAAATGAGGATAAAACTTGAAAAGCTACAAAAAAAAAAAAAAAAAAAAAAAAAAAAAAAGAGAGAATAAAAATTAAACAGCAAGTAAAGCAAAGTAAATCAGAGGAATTGAGAATTTATAAAATGAAAAGCTTCACATAGAAAACAATTTGCTAATTCTTTATCTTTTTGCATAGTTTATTTGAGAGTGATGGGAACTGTCGTAAAATTTTCAGCCTTGTCGTGAATCTCGTGATGGCTTATATGACGATGCTAGAGGAGAAAGAGGAGAAAGATAAAAATGAGAAAAACGAGAAAAACAATCAATGTGACGGAGCTAGAAGTTGAATTAAAAGAGTAGAGTTGGAGTAATAAAATAAAAAATAAAAGTCGACGTTGAGTCGAGTCGAGTCGACGTTGTCCGGACTGTTATCATGAGAAACAAGCTTCCACTCTGATTTTTTAATCCGCCACCCTGTTGGGAATTTTAGTGGGAGGAGGTAGCGGAGCAGGAGATGGAGACGTAGTTACTCATACCCGGGTGAATTTTAAAATAACTGCAGAACGCCATTTGCTACTCCCAAATACTCGGGTATAGGTATATCGGAGAGAAAAGAAAAAAAAATAATAATAAAAAAAAAAAAAAAAAAAAAAAAACGCTTAAGCCTCTACGAAATACAACCACCACCACTATTTCCTCCCCTATACCCACGCGTTCTGTCATTATCCTTGAATTTTTAATCTATATTTAAGAAAAAACTTATTTCGTAAACTATTATACCTAATAAAAAAAATTCATCACTCATTTAATAACTTTAATTAGTAGATTTTCATTTGGTTAATTATATACACAATATATACCTTGAACCATAATTTGGTAATTAATTACTTTAATTGCTCACTTAATAACCAATTATTTTTTATGCCAGGAAATTTCAAATTATTAATTATTGTGATGATTAAATTTAATTTCATAATTTGAGAACCAACCAGTTATTACTCACAGTGAAAAACAAATAAGTGTAATATAGTTATATTTGAAAAACCGCATAAATTTGAGGAAAGTTATCCAATAATGTTAGCGATTTGAGATCTACTGGAGTAAGAGAAAAAAAAAGAGCTCTAGATGTTATCTACGGCATGGTATATGGGTATCTTCCCCTGAAAAGTCTCCTTTTAGTCCCTCTTGACCCTCGCGAGGCTTCAGAGGACGGAGAATGGAGGATCACCACTCATTCAGAGTTCTCGCTTACCTCAGTCTCATTTGGTACTATTTACTTCCTCGAGGAACTTCTTATAAAGACTCTCAGATAGATACTATATAGAGTATCATCACGGAGCTGTTCTTATATACTTATACTTAACACTAAGACCCTCAAAACTCTTCTATTTTATTCCGAATCCCATTACTAAAAAGTAAAAAAAAAAAAAAAAACTGAAAAAATAAAATTCTTATCAGAGATAAAACTTGTGATGCTGAATCGACAGAATTGAAATTAAATTTTTTCCGTAAACCGTAAATTGTACGGCGTACTTGTACTTGTAAATTAATTAAACTTTTTAAATTTAAATACTTTGCTATTAATTATTTAAGTCTGATATTTGTTTAGACATTATTCTTACAGATATTTGAAATATAATTATCAATAAATCAAAACTGCTTTTGATAATTATCAAGTAATTTAGCATAAAAAATATGAAATGAGAATAAAAGAAAAAAAATAAAAAAAATAAAGAATAAATGGTTTTTAAAGTGACGGATGTTTGAGTGGCGACATTATTGAACTTTATTTCTCATTTTACGCGCATGAAAATAAAGGCAGAGACAAAAGTAGAGAATAGAGAGTAGAGAGTATGATGGTGTGATGGTGTAATGGTATAGGGAATGATATAGAGTATAGAGAGGCGAGAAGTTGCAGACAATGAGGGATGGGGAATTAATAAAACTGTCACTTATCCATGGCACAACCCCTGGGACGGGGAACGGGGAACGGGGAACGGGGAACGAGAGAACAGCCACGGTCGTATTCTCTCTGCTATGCTAGTTACTGCTGTATGTGTCGGTTGCGCTCGGTATACACCCAACAGCAAACAGTCGCAACAGCGAGAAACGCGCCAACTATTGAGTATATTATATATTATAAGAGAGCAAACTGAACCAAGCTAGATGTCGAATCACAATTACAACAACCAAAAATGATACTTTTTATTTATTTTTATTTTTAATAACAATATTACTACCCGATGATACAGCAATATTGCCCACAGTAATCTTTTATATTTTACAAAAGCAGACTATTTATTTTAACAGAGAAATAAATAATTTGTTTCAGTTATGGAATGGATTTAAATGGCGCGAGACGAAAAAATGCAACCCGGGAAACAACAAGCACCTTAAAAGCTTGGTTAAACGAGCACAAAAAGAATCCATACCCGACCAAGGGTGAGAAAATAATGCTTGCGATTATTACCAAGATGACATTGACTCAGGTATCTACGTGGTTTGCTAACGCCAGGAGAAGGCTCAAAAAGGAAAATAAAATGACCTGGGAGCCAAGAAATAGAGTCGAAGATGAGGATAACAACAATGATGATGATGACAGTGGTCGCAAGAGTGTCGACGACAAAGACCGACTTGGTAAGACTCTCTTTTTTTATTTATTTATTAATTTAAAAAATTAACGAAAAAGAAATTTTTTTTTAATTTCCAGATTCAAAAGATTCAGGCACGGGATCGTCTGAAGACGGAGAGCGTCCAACCAATCGTCTGGATCTGTTGCATCCATCGACAGGAAGTGGCCTCCAGAGTAGAATCCAGGAGAGCGAGTGGTCAGAGTCCCGCGCGGACAGTGGCCCCGACAGCCCCGAGTGTCTCTACGACCAGCGAGAACCTCCCCGACACCCGCTTCAGCTTCAACATCCAGCGTATCTAGCCGCGCATAATCGGCTGCTGAGGCACCCCTCGCCTGAAAGCACCTCGCCGACGGGTCCCATTCATCTTCCGACCTCGACAAGCACCTCCAGCGGAAATTCCACGGAGAACAGCACCAAACCGAGGATCTGGTCCCTTGCGGACATGGCCAGCAAGGACGCGGACAGTCCGGTTCCACCAACGCCACCCTCCAGTGGGACGTTAACTGGCCTCGGAAGTCCCTACCAGAATTCCCCCGGGGGTGGAAAGATCGTGAGTCCTCTCGCAAATAGATTTCCTCCGCACCACCATATCCACCCGGCGATTTCAGGGTCCCAGTACGTCAGGCCTCACCCAGACTTTTATCGTAACTTTTACGGTGCAGCCTCCCAGCTCGGCTCCGGAGATATGGCCTTTTTGGAGAGCTACTCGAGAAGTCTGGGAGGCTTGGGACTTGCTCCGAATTCAGTACCTGCGGGTATTCTCACTTCCACACCGCCTGCCGTATCCACCAGTATCACTGTCAAACCCTTTCCCCTCAATGGCAGTACTAGTAATAGTAATAGTAATAGTAATAATAATAATAATAATAATAATAATAATAATAGTAATAATAACAACAACAGTGGGGGACTGATGACACCGTCGGAAGTATCGCCATCGTCATCAGTGTCCTCGCACTCGGAGCAGAGATCGCCACACCCCAGCGAGCCCGGGAATAAATCCCCGCGAGTGTGATTGAGGTCTGAGGCAGCCTCTCAGGCTGAATGATCGTTTAAATAAACGATTGTGACCCGACAATAAGCAGACTAATGTCTTGTAATTAGTGTACAGTTTTAAGAGATATAATATTGTCATCTGATGGATCATGTTAATTAATAATATTTTATTAATCTCCCAACAATAATTATGCAGACTAGAATACTTTTCGCCACAATAACCATTACTTACTTTTTTTTTTTTTTTTTTTTTTTTTTTTTTTTAAACCAAAAATCCATTAAACAAACAAAAGAATAATATAATTATTTTTAATCTTTGGATTTTTATTATTTAAAGCTCTAAACGGTTTATTTATTAAAAATAGATAAGAATCTGCATAATTATCACGCATCCGATAGCTTTTTTGACTGAACCGACTTAACTATAACCGACCTAAATAATTAAATAATAAATATATAAATATAGTATAAATAAAAATTGAATTAGATAAGATTGATAATTGATAATTATATAAATATAGAATATATATTATATATATATATAACAATAATTATTATTTATGTATTTGTACATAGTAGTTGAAAGGGATTGACTTAAAGCCCAGCCAAAAAACTAAATAAAATGTATGTAATGTATGTAGTGTAGATGCGTATTATTATTTTAATTATTATGATTTTTATTATTTTATTATATATATTATATTATATTATATTGATAATGAATTATGAATTTATTGAAAATAAAATTAAAAATAAAAAAAAGGACAATGTAATTTGTGCAAATAATAACTAAAATGAGTGTGACACGATGAGGATCGACGATTGTTATTGCCATCATTTTAAATGAATAAAATAAATTTTCGCATCAGAGTGTTTGTGCTATATCGATCATTTAATTAATTAATTAATAAATTAGTTATTACTTATTACTACCGAGTACTGATTATTATAGATTTAATTACAATAACAATTACAGATGAATGAGATTATTATGAGTGAAAATAATAATAATAATAATAATAATAATAATTAAATAAATAAAGTGGTCGGTGGTTCTATTATGGCTCAGTGGCTCGGTAGATTATTGTCGAGTCTTGGAAATAAAAGATGGAAATAATGTCGACTAAGCCTACATATCACGCGTGTTTTAATAAAATAATTATTCAATTTTTAAATTATTTAACGATAATTAAAATAAAATAAATTACTAACGATTGCCATCTTTCTTAGTCATTTGTGTCGAAAATGTGTCGTGCGTCTGATAATGATAATGATGATAATAATAATAATAATAATAATAATAATAATAATAATGGATAAACTACAATAATAAACGCTGTTGTAATACCACATTGGTATTTATTGATAATAAAATATTAATTTAATGAACTTTTATTAATATTATTTTACTATATACGATTTTGATATAGATAATACAGTGCCCTCTACATTTAATTTTTAATTATTATTATTATTAAACGAAAAAATTTAGATATAATTGTTATCCTTATCCTTATCCTTAAAATTTCAAATTCAGTATATAAATAAATAATAGATAAGCGAAATTATTGGATAGATAATGCAATGTTGAGTATGGGGTTGATGAATTAATTAGATGAATAAAAAAAGAAAAAATTTATGAATCGTCTGGTTGTGAATCGGATTGAATTGGTTGGTTGCGGTTGGTTGGTTGGTATCGATTTTCTTAGGCGGATATGTACTTATAAAAATGCAAAGCAACTTCTGGGTGGTTGCAGCCAACTTCTTGGTTATTAGTAAACATTTAAATCGACAATCGCTATAGAGAATTCTCTTTTCTCTTTTCTCTTTCCTCGAGCAGCAGAATGTCGACGCGGTCTTCCTTTTCCTTATTATTATTCTCGGGATTTCATTTTGTTGTTTGTTTTCTTCACATAACATTAGACTCTTCTCCCTGTTCGTTCATTCATGCCCGATCCCCGATCCCAGTACTGGGCCATTGTCTTCATCTTCATCTTCATCTTGTTCTTCTTCTTCTACTGGAGATCCTACTCTTCTATATACACATATATATATATATAATGGCGACTACGTGGAATGAGAAAGAGACAAATCGCAGAGAGACAGTTTGCCAAATTCAGAATAGACGAGCTGCTCCTGATGTTACTGATGTTACTGATGTTACTGATGTTACTGATGTTACTGACATTCTCTATTTCTTTGGATGAGTTAAACTTAGAGGCTACCAAGAATTGTTGAATTGTTGTGTAAGGAGAAACTCATAAGAGCATACTAAAGTAGTACATTATGTGTACCTACATCGGATAGAATATAGAATGGTTTCAAGAGTTAGCAGTTGAAACAAGAAATCAAACCCAAGGACCACCCGCCACGGCCTTGGGACTACAAAGCCGCGGATCGCGGATCAAGAATCTCCAATCTCGAGGAGGCCTCTTCTCTTTTCTTCTTTATTTTTTATGTCTTTTGTCTTTTGCCTTTATGAATTAACCTTCATTTTAATTTCTCTCTTCAATTTTTAGACTAACACAACTATTATTTCTATCAATTAGTCTTTCTTTCAAAATTTATTCAAAAATAAATACTAATATTTACCTACATATACAATTCACCTTGAGGTCTATAATAAACTATATTAAAAATTTTAAAAATGAAATAATTTGCTGATATTTAAAAGCTGACATTTAAATTTAAGATGTCAAGATAAACATATATATTTCAACGCATGATTTCGTCGCGATGGATATATATATATATATATATATATTATGTATAAATTTTTATTAGAAAACATCAAAGATGCCGGACATCCGGTAACCGTGTATACACGTGGACGGAAGAGATTAAAGATAAACTTTGTTTTCATACGAATTACGGTCCATTTAATGATGATTGCATTATAAATATTATTATTTATATAAATATACTTGGTTTCGCGGATTGAGTTATCGGTTATCGTTGTTGCTTTTGCTAAACACTTGATCAAATATCCAAATAAATGACAAGGTATATTTATACTTTTGATGATCGATCCAACATCTTCCATTCCATACCATCAAAGTATAATCTCTAACTGTTTGCATAATTTTTAGACTTAATTCTAAATAAAACAATAAATAACAAATAAAAATTTTAATGACATGATTATCAATCTTTTTGGCAGCTGACTTTCTTCTATCTGCTCCACCGATTTTCAGAGCACACAAATGTGTTACTCTATCTATATATATATATATATATATATATATATTGAAGAGTTTGTAAAACGAAAGAAGAGTGAGAGAAGGAGGAGGAGGGAGGAGGCGATGCCGCTTACACGCCAAATTGTCCCCATTCGAAGATGAACCGCCGCGGCGGTCTTTGAAAAGGATCACAGCTCGTGCTTATAAATCTCTTGTGGATGCTGAGAGCGAAAGCGAGAACAGAGGAAGCCTAAAAAGACCAAATAATCTCCATCCTTATATTAAAAAAATAAAACTCTGAGAAAGAGAGTGTAAGAGTGTAAGAATCGAGTTTTGGTAAAGTGAGAGGATGCCGGTTTTAGTCTCACCCGGCACTCGGCACCCGGCACTCGACTAGTATACTTACCTTTCTTTTTTTTCTTTTTTTTTTTTTTTTATATAGTTTATTTGGTTATTTATTTAATTTAATGGCGGAGCCTACCTCGACCTACAACCTCACATTCGGATTCGGATTTTAAATTCCTCGAAACGGAGGTTGGATTCTTGAAAAACCAACCGCGATCAATGCGAACAAAAGTTACCTGTTAAAGCTAAAGGGAATCCCTCCATAAATTCTTTTACATTTTTTTATTTATTCTCAACAGTTATATAATTCTATAATAGTATGTATTTTTACTTCCAATTAATAAATTTTTATTAATTATTAGTATTTACAGCTAGTGTTTTATGTTTTATGTAATTAGTTTGGCTTTGTTCCACTGAATAATAATCATCAATATGCCAGAGGGTGTAATCAATACTTTTACTTATATTTTGATTAACAGCGAAATTTAAATGATATATATATATATATATATATAATTAAAAATTTCATTATTATTAAATCGACGAGACTGTTTACTCTTTAATGTTGACATTAATCACTAATATTCAATGCGACAACTTTACTAATTTTTTATTTAATGTTTTACATATATTTTTATAAAATTATTCATTTTAATAGAAACTTATACTTTGATACGAATATCGAAAAAATATATTTAAGAAAACTAAAATCTGAGATTAAAATATTTAAGAAGAGAAAAGATGAAGAAGAAGAAGAAGAAGAAGAAGAAGAAGAGGCGCTGGGTTGAAGTTGGTAGCTGGCGCGACGGGAATTATTTAAATGGATTACTGCGGCAGCTCACGACAAACTTTTCCAGAATCTCCTGATCCGGTCTTAAAATTTAGATGGATTATGAGTAAGAGAATAGCGAGCATATCACCCAGTGAAAGACACGAGTCCCGGCGTCTAGTCCTGGGAAGACGTGATGCAATAAGCGAGGCGACAACTGCCGTCAGCCATCACAACTCACAACTCGAGAAAATGTTGTTTTCTTTCGCGACATTTTCCAACTCGAGAGGGCTCCTCCCTCTTTCTTTAAACTTATTATCATTATTTTAATTATTTCATCAAGTGTTGGTGAGTTTAAAAGAGTAAAACTAGTGCTTTCTTTTAACACCCAGGACTCTAACAAAGGAGGGATCGGTTACTTTTCGCTTTTCTCTTTTCGCTCCTCGTGGACGGGACACACTGTTTATTCCCTTAATATATATATATATATATATACACTTGAAAAGTCTTTACTTGGCTTACTTTCCTCTCTCGTTAAACTATATTACGCCCCCCACAGTTCATTAATATCCATTATGCTTCTCTAATTAGTCCTCCTTATCTCAAGACACATTAACCAATACTTTTTTATATATATCATTATAATTATAATTATAATTAATTAATTACACTCTTCCGAGTCGACTTATCAATTAAAAACTTTTGTCATTGACAGAACAA